CAACATTTAAATAAATATTAAGCTTTTGCACTCGAAAGTTTTTCATTTGAAATGTTCAATACTTTCTAGTTAGATGTAGACAAGATTCTTTAAAATAAATTTATCAAGAAATTACACATAAATTACGGAACAAAGCTATTTCCTTTTAATATTTCACGTATTGATGCAGTGTACGAAGGTAAATACCAAAATTTATAATTTTCCTGTATCAAATCATCTGGTGACTAGTGACTCTCGGTCACCATTTGATTTACAGCAAAACTATAAAATTGAATATTTGGTATTTTAAATGGAACTTTGTATTGCTATAGGAAATATTTACATAAAATTACTTTGTCGCTTAATTTATCTGTGAATTATCGTTAAATTAGTTTCAAACAGTGTCGTCTGTATCTCGTCGAAAAATGTTAAATATTTCCAGTGAAAAACTTTCGAGTGCAAAGGGTTAACCCTTAGCAGGTTGTTTTGTAATCAGCAACTGTAATTAATTTGTATAGTATTCCTAGTGAAAATTATAAATGCTATAACATTTCTTCGATCTTTTATTTTCCTTCTTAAAGTCCATTAACCAGTTAACTGCTTGATAAGTATACGCGTCAACTTAAAGCTTGAAATGGTACTAATACTTTCCACGATGAATTCTTTATTTTTTCAGATAAACATGTAATCCTTCTTTGTTTCGCTTTTCCATTAAAATGCACTGTAGATGCAAACATCCTGCATTTGGCGATTACACGCTTCATTTCTTGATTTTATTGCGCGCAGAACGAGAGATCTTTGAAACTAAATTCCACAGTTAACCCTGTCTTACGATTCATTTCTCAACTGTGCTTGATAAAACAACTTTCTTAATCATTTATTAGAAAAAGAAATACATTGTGTACCGATAATGAGAAATCTCGTTTTTATATAAAGACACTTAGCTATGCAACTTCGTTAATTACCACAGCATTGAAGAAATATAACATTTCACTCGAATTGATTATCTATTTAACCCTTTATGGGCCGAATTTTTGTTCATGATTATAACAAAATCTGTGTAGTACAAAAGCAATAAATATCCACATACGAATACGAATTAAGAATGTATTAAATAGTTTCAATAATCTCATCAAACGAATGTATTTTGCAACTTTGAAGTTACAATGACGTTAAACTTTCATGCCTGAGCGTGCAAAAGTTGAAGTTAA